ACGCAGATCAGAAAGTGGGTTTTTTTTCTCCCAGTTATTCCATGTTCTTACAGTGAGGAAAATAAGTATTTGAACACCCTGCTATTTTGCAAGTTCTCCCACTTAGAAATCATGGAGGGGTCTGAAATTGTCATCGTAGGTGCATGTCCACTGTGAGAGACATAATCTAATAATCTAATCTTTTTTTTTTAAATCCAGAAATCACAATGTATGATTTTTTAACTATTTATTTGTATGATACAGCTGCAAATAAGTATTTGAACACCTGAGAAAATCAATGTTAATATTTGGTACAGTAGCCTTTGTTAGCAATTTCAGAGGTCAAACGTTTCCTGTAGTTTTTCACCAGGTTTGCACACACTGCAGGAGGGATTTTGGCCCACTCCTCCACACAGATCTTCTCTAGATCAGTCAGGTTTCTGGGCTGTCGCTGAGAAACACGGAGTTTGAGCTCCCTCCAAAGATTCTCTATTGGGTTTAGGTCTGGAGACTGGCTAGGCCACGCCAGAACCTTGATATGCTTCTTACAGAGCCACTCCTTGGTTATCCTGGCTGTGTGCTTTGGGTCATTGCCAGGTTTCTGTTTAACACTGTGGATCAGCTGGTAAACCCAACCCCTCCTTGTGCCTCAGCTGGAAGTAATGATGACTGTGAATTGTTTTTATCTTATTTTACCAATAAGGTGGTGTCAATCAGAGCCTCTATTACCCCCGTGGCCTCTTACTCAGAGGTCCCTCACCAGCAACAACAGAGTTTTAACCAGTTTTATCCCATCGACTTGTCTGAGCTTTTAAAAACAGTATCACAAATGAGAGTGTCCTTCAGCCCACTTGATGTAATACCTACAAAATTTTTACTGAAAGTAATAGATTCTGTTGGGCCCCATTTGATCTCTGTTTTCAACAGCTCCCTATGTACTGGTTGTGTCCCTGATTATTTTAAAACGGCTTGCGTGAACCCACTTTTAAAGAAACCTGGTTTAGATCCGTCCCTCCCACATAATTTTAGACCAATTTCAAAACTGCCTTTTATTGCAAAGATTCTAGAAAGAATTGTGTCCAAACAGCTGCTCACTGTGCTGGAAAATAACAAATTATTTGAAAAGTTTCAGTCTGGTTTTAGGAAGTACCACAGCACTGAGACTGCCCTGCTTAAAGTCACCAATGACCTTTTAATGTCTGCTGATGAAGGTATGTGCTCAGTCCTTGTACTCCTGGACCTTAGCGCTGCTTTTGACACCATTGATCACAACATCATGTTAGACAGACTGAGGCACTGGGTGGGGATCTCTGGTACTGCCCTAGAATGGTTTTCATCCTACCTGTCAAATAGGAAGTTTTGCGTGTCTGTAAACAACTATGTCTCTTCATTCTGTCCAGTTAAATATGGTGTGCCTCAGGGGTCGGTCTTAGGACCCATTTTGTTTTCCTTGTATCTGCTTCCCCTTGGACATATTATCCATAAACATGGCATTTCTTTTCATATTTATGCTGATGACACAAATATACTTGCCCGTCAGATCCACAGACCCTGGAATGCTGAGTTCACTTAACAACTGCCTTTGTGAAGTTAAAAAATGTATGTCAAATAATTTCCTCCAGCTGAACTCAGACAAAACAGAAATCCTGGTCATCGGGTCTCAGCAGATGGCAAATCAAATACTGCCATCTGCTGGTTCCCTAGTAAATCACATTAAGCCTGTGGCAAAGAACCTTGGTGTTTGGTTTGATAGTAATTTAAATTTCGAGCAGCACACCACAGAGCTTGTTCAATCATGTTTTTATCAACTTAGAAATATAGCTAAAATTCGCTCTATGTTAACTTTTAAGGACACCAAGACCATTTTACACGCCTTCATCTCATCACGCCTGGATTATTGCAACAGCCTTTTCACCTGTTTAACCCAAAAATCTATTGATCGACTCCAGACTGTCCAGAACTCAGCTGCCAGGCTTTTAACCAGAACAAAGAAATATGACCACATTACTCCTATTTTAGCTTCATTACACTGGCTCCCAGTATGTTTTAGAATTGACTTTAAAATTCTATTGATCACTTTTAAAGCTCTTCATGGCCTCTCGCCTTGTTATATTTCTGACCTTTTAGTCCCATACGCACCAGCACGTACCTTGAGATCCTCGGGCAGAGGTCTGTTGTCTGTTCCAGAGTCTCGACTGAAAACTAAAGGGGACAGAGCGTTTGCTGTCAGGGCCCCGAGGCTCTGGAACAGCCTGCCCGAGGAAATCAGGTCAGCTGAGTCAGTGAACTCTTTTAAGTCCCTTCTTAAAACATACTTTTATAGGAGAGCTTTTCCCGATCTTATTTGACTTTATTTTATCCCTTTTATTCTATTGTATTTTACAAATTTTATATTAAATTTTCATGCTCTTATCTTTTTTTTGTATTATTCTTTACACTTGTTAAAGCACTTTGTAACTTGTTTTTGAAAAGTGCTCTACAAATAAGGATTATTATTATTATTATTATGTTGGAAGACCCAGCCTCGATGCATCTTCAGTGCTCTAACTGAGGGAAGGAGGTTGTTCCCCAAAATCTTGCAATACATGGCCCCGGTCATCCTCTCCTTAATACAGTGCAGTCGCCCTGTCCCATGTGCAGAAAAACACCCCCAAAGCATGATGCTACCACCCCCATGCTTCACAGTAGGGATGTGTTCTTGGGATGGTACTCATCATTCTTCTTCCTCCAAAAACGGTTAGTGGAATTATGACCAAAAAGTTCTATTTTGGTCTCATCTGACCACATGACTTTCTCCCATGACTCCTCTGGATTATCCAAATGGTCATTGGCAAACTTAAGATGGGCCTTGACATGTACTGGTTTAAGCAGGGGAACCTTCCGTGCCATGCATGATTTCAAACCATGACGTCTTAGTGTATTACCAACAGTAACCTTGGAAACGGTGGTCCCAGCTCTTTTCAGGTCATTGACCAGCTCCTCCCGTGTAGTTCTGGGCTGATTTCTCACCTTTCTTAGGATCATTGAGACCCCACGAGGTGAGATCTTGCATGGAGCCCCAGTCCGAGGGAGATTGACAGTCATGTTTAGCTTCTTCCATTTTCTAATGATTGCTCCAACAGTGGACCTTTTTTCACCAAGCTGCTTGGCAATTTCCCCGTAGCCCTTTCCAGCCTTGTGGAGGTGTACAATTTTGTCTCTAGTGTCTTTGGACAGCTCTTTGGTCTTGGCCATGTTAGTAGTTGGATTCTTACTGACTGTATGGGGTGGACAGGTGTCTTTATGCAGCTAACGACCTCAAACAGGTGCATCTAATTTAGGATAATAAACGGAGTGGAGGTGGACATTTTGAAGGCAGACTAACAGGTCTTTGAGAGTCAGAATTCTAGCTGATAGACAGGTGTTCAAATACTTATTTGCAGCTGTATCATACAAATAAATAGTTAAAAAATCATACATTGTGATTTCTGGATTTTCTTTTTTAGATTATGTCTCTCACAGTGGACACGCACCTACGATGACAATTTCAGACCCCTCCATGATTTCTAAGTGGGAGAACTTGCAAAATAGCAGGGTGTTCAAATACTTATTTTCCTCACTGTATCTATGTGTTTTGCATATTTTTCATTAGCCTGCATTAAAATACCACAGGTAGCCTACATTTTGGCAATATGGTAGCACATAGTTTGTGGTCATGGCGAGCTTGTTAGAGAAAACACTGATTAATACATTGTATTACAGTCATGCTTACAATGTGCATTGCAATGATCTTCTCTTCATAGTTTCTGGATTTCCAAGTCAATTTTCTCAGAATCTATTTTTATCTCCATATCTAGGTCCAAGTCCTGCAGGGGTTTTTGGTGATATTTTATTTTGTTAATTTTTTCAAGTATGTGCAGTTCAGACATCTGACAGTTTGTAAAACACTTAGCACTTAGCACAGCAGGAACTGTTCACCTGTGGATGTCCTTCAGGTAATTCTTACTACATTGCCAGACTGTCTGTCAGACTGTAGGACTACAGCCTCAGGGTCAAGTTACAAATATGATACAGTATTTTCTCTGAGCACCATATATTGTTCTATGTTAAATAATGCTTTAAAAATGCTTAAAGAAAGGAAAGAAAGGAAGGAAGAAAACATGCAATGCAATGTAAACATAGAAGAAACAAATTTACATTGTCCAAATAAGTAACTTAAGCTAAAAGAACAAGCTACTGATCACTGCATTATATTTTTATATTTTGAATAGTCACCTGCCAGCTGCCAGCTTTGTGTTTCCATTTATATAAATAAAGACATTTCCACCATAAATTGGTGCAGAATATTTCTCCAGAAGTCAGGAAATTAAGTGTTTAATGCTCAAAAACTTCTGGGCGTGTTAGTTTATTTTTCTTTTAAATATTTTGTGCTTTTTTTCATCATAAACCTTCTTCATTCGATGTTACTCACTGTCTGTAAAGTGTGCTGCGCACGGCTTCAGCATCAATAAATCTGTGATCGACCGCGTGGTCTCTTGAAGAAAGCTGTTGAAGCACATTTATCTGAATTACTATTTTAATTACACCTGGCTTGACATAGTGGCTCCCACTGAGCCTGGTTTGGCCTTTGTGAAACTGATAAAGCCAGGATGCACCGATCACACTAGGTCAAGCATAGCCTTTTCTGTTATCCTGGATTTCTAAATTCTGCTTTTGTGAAACAGCCCTAGTGTAGGTATAATAAAAATAAAATAAAAAACAATTTAAAAAAACAGGTGGATTAAATAGAGACATTTGATTTCAGGGTGCAGAGATCTGCAGTATGAGATGTGAAATTTAATACAAGCCTGCTTTCCACTCTCAGAAGTATTGCCACTATATAATTTACAACAACCAAAATGAGGTTAATCGCAACATTTATAATATAATCAATAGGTAATTATATTATAGTGTTAATTTGCTACATGTTACAGTGGTTACATGTGGTTTTTCCAACTTTCCACAGCACATTTGCCCTCAGCAGCTGGGGGCGGTGTGTTGCTCCAGGAGGACCCACCCTGGCACCAGCAGCTAGAGAGCGTCGCTGCGGAGGACGCTGTTCACGAAGCGGAAGATGGCGACTGTTTGGAGGCTGCAGAGGAACCTCCGGAGCTGATACCGGGGGAAGGAGAGGAAACACATACACTCAGAGCCCACAGAAGACCACGTCTAAAACAACGGTATTAATAATGCTGCAACAGTTGAGTGAAAGTGACGACATTTGAAGGGGGGCCCTGACAAAGTGTATGACATTAGAGGAGCTAACGCTAGTTAATTAACCTACTGCTCACAACCTCTGCTCGAGCTAACAGTAGCAAAGATTATCAGCAGAGACTGAAGATGTCAGCTAGCAGGCTAGCTAGGAGGGTGTAACGTTAGCTGAGATTCTCCTGAGAGGATGTCGTGTCATTTAGATAATTAAGAAGTGGGGGATTTACATACGTTGTCAACTAGAGATATTAAATCTATGGCTGTATAACGTTACCCGTAGCTAAAGATGCATTGATGTTAGCTAACGATAACGTGGATGCTTATGATCTGTTAGCCAGTGCTAGCATGAATTCTCAAAGGATCAAACGTTAAGTTCAATAACATGCAGCTGTTACACGCCGGTTAGTCAGTAAAATAGTCGTTAGTTGCACAAGCCATGCCGCTTTTAATCGTATAATGTATCACAAGGCTCATGTATTTTCATATGGAGTTAGCTTTAAGTGGTAATTAGCATTAGTAATCTCAACATTTAATTTATTATGTGACGCTAACGACAGCTAGTTAGAGGTAGCTAACGATATAAGAGGAACGTGCTATACGGAGGGGCCAGCTGCTAAAGAAAGGGTACCACCCGTTTCAGACAATCAAGGAGACAGTTTACATTACTGAGCATTAAATGCCCCAAAACATTTTGTGGTGGTTACAGCTTTGCAGTGTCATTGGGTTTCTTGGGTAGGACGAAATCTGCTTTCAATTTGGTTTAAGGCTTCATCCTCATTAAATTTGAGTTACAGAAATCCAGTGAAACAGGCCAGTTTTAGGCCCTGCTGTAATGTAGATAACTGTAGCTTGTGCTAAACATGCTCCTGAGCATCATGAACGTTGCATCACCTGCATGTCTCCCCATGTCTCCACAGACAATAATGTCCCGCTCCCCTGACAATGAGGATGGATGCTTTGTTGCCATGGACACTGAGGACGATGGTGCAGAGCCTGCTGGGATAACAGAGGAAGTTGAGGCAAAGATGGGGTCCTGCCGACAAGAAGGGAGCATGGACAGCGGTGCCAAAGGAGGGGGGAGAACAATGGTGGAGTTGCCAGAGGAAGTTCTCGAATATATTCTTTCCTTTCTCTCACCTTACCAGGAGCACAAGACCGCTGCGCTTGTATGTAAGCAGTGGTATCGCCTCATTAAAGGTATGCTTCTCATGTTTACATTGTGTTATATAAAACTGAATCAGAAGGTGCACTGGTTGCAGTGGGTAGCAGAGCAGTGAAATGTACTTTAAACACCGGAGAGGGGAAGTTTAAAAAGAAATTGTTGTCCACTTTACATTTTTTTTGTGTTCCTTTTGCTTATTAATATTTTATCCATACTAGGTGTTGCTTATCAGTGCTACCACGGTTTCTTAAGAGCTGTCCAGGAGGGAAATATCCAGTGGGAAAGTCGCACATACCCATATCCAGGAACCCCCATCACTCAGCGCTTCTCCCACAGTCAGTATATGCTGCTTTACAACATTTCATATCAAAATAAGTTGCATGTCATGTATGTAGTGGTGAAACTGCTTTTTAAAAATGTTCCAATGTGGTTGTAGCTGTGCATCAGATTGGAGTCCAGTGTAGAGCAGATAAAATGGCTTCTTTCCTGTATGTTGTGTAATGTTGTGTAATGTTGTGGAGGCAGCACAACAACTGATGTAAACCTGCATTACATTTTGAACAGAAATGTTTGATCTTTTGTTTTTTGAGCTTTGAAACCACAGTGATTTGTTGTGATTTGATGATGTAGCTAAATTTACTGACAAAGGGCCTCTTACCTCTAAGTTTATCTTTATGTTGAAGGAAAATAAACCATTTTAATGACGTGTGTAATAATTTGATTGTAGTGCCAGATGAGCTTAACTATAGACCATTTAGAAAAAGAATCTCTTAATGCAACTGTACTGTTACTGTAAACAACTATGTACAAACATGTCTTCGATTTTCCATTTTATTGGAAAAACGGGCACTGATTTCAGGCACTGATTTCAGGCACTGATTTCACTGTTACTTGGCACACAAAAAATCCATAAATAAAACACTCAAAGCTCACTGTTTGCTGTAGTTTGCTTCTAAGCTGTGGTTAATTTGTCTTTTTTCTTTTTTTTTCGGGTTGCAGGTGCATGTTATTACGACTCAAACCAGTCCATGTATGTGTTTGGGGGTTGCACTCAGAGTAGCTGCAATGCTGCCTTTAATGATCTATGGAGACTTGACCTCAACAGCAAGGAGTGGATCCGCCCTTTAGCCTCAGGTACGAGTAGGTTATGAGCAGTAAAAACAAAGAAAATCAGAGCTCTTTTTACGATTTATATCTCTGGTAAAATCTAACTTCACATAGGGCTTATGTAAGGGGAACAGTGGGAGGGAGAACATTAGTGAATATAGTAGTCTCATGCTCAGCAGCAGCAGCTGAGTATGCAGTATTTGAGGAGGTGGTAATAAAAAAACAATGAAGTACGTGTGAAATCAGATCGTAGTGAAATGATTTTACTAGTGCACTTTCCTTCTTATTTCTGTAAACTTTAGAGCTTATTTTGTGTTAAGAGGCAGGGCTCGATGTTTGTTGCCTGTGTAAAGAGCACTTATTGTGAGAGATTTGTTCTGCTTCATCATGAAGTTAATGTTCATGTGTTTTTTAAAAACTTGGTCACTTATATGTGAGCTGAGTTGGGAAAATAATTACTTACCTATTATTGTTCAGGCATTTTTACTTAAAAGATAATTTCTGTATTTTTAAACCTGGGCCCTATTTTCACTTATTTTGGTGTCGGTGGCTTCAGCCGGCAGCTGTGAACTCGCCTCTCACAAGATTTCAGAGTGAGAATTGTCTTTGAGCAATACTTCAGGTCCCTGTTGAAAGCAAAGGGTGTCACCGTGAGTCACTTGAAGGGATCCTTTCCATCATGATGTCCGACACCTCGAATAGCAGTCTGAGCCTATTGGTGGCAAAAAGAAGCATGTTTTGTGGATGTAATTTTGCGCCCGGAGGACTTTGTTGCAGCCTCTGCAGCTGAAACATCTACGGATTCTAAAACTTTTTGTCATTCCACACCAAATTATGTGAAAATAGGGCCATGCTTAAAAAATGCCGAAATTACCCTTGAACGTATTAAGCAGGACTCAACTTAAAGTGATTTAAAAGTGCATTTTTTTTCCTCCACTGAAATTTTTTTCACTATATATGAATTGGATTATTGACTTGTACATGCATACAACATCATGCTTATTAAGCTCAAATTTGAGTCCTATCTTTGCTCTTTCCTTTTACAGGCTCTTATCCGTCTCCCAAAGCTGGAGCGACTCTAGTGATGCACAAAGACCTGTTAGTGCTGTTTGGGGGATGGACTCGCCCCAGCCCGTATCCACTGCACCAACCAGAAAGGTTTTTTGATGAAATCCACACCTACTCTCCGTCAAAGAACTGGTGAGAGGGACTTGAGTACTTTGAGTTAAAAGATGTTGTTATAACAAGTTGAGACTTGGTACAGTTTCATCATCATCCTCTTTTTCTTCCTCTTTGTGATTCGTTTATCTTCTGTTGTCTCAGGTGGAACTGTATAGTAACAACACACGGACCTCCACCTATGGCTGGCCACTCCTCCTCTGTAATTGCAAACACCATGGTGGTGTTTGGTGGGTCACTAGGAGCACGTCAAATGTATGAATGTATTACTTATATTTAATTACACATTATCCAAAACTGAACTGCTTAAATTAAATGTGAAATCTGTAACATTTTGCGCATTAACATAACAACAAAGATGACGAGGCATGTAGTACCATGTTTGCAAAGGTGTTTAACTTCGTTGTTCGTAGACAACTAAAACTGTAATTGGCTTCTCAGGTGTCGGGTGATTAAGTATATGATTTACTGAGTTGATTGCCTACAGACCAAATATGCAATCATTATAGTTGAGCACTTACATAATGAAATAGACCAAAAAACGTGATGCAGTAACTGTTACACAGCCGATGTAGACGGGCTGTGGAGACCTGGACAGATCTAATTCGACAAATCTGATTAATATCCTGTCTACAAACAAGGTAGTGTTTTACTACACTATGTCATAGAAATGGATTTTTTAAGGTAATTTAAAAAGCCTTACATATTGCTGTCTTAAACTTTCTTAATTGTAGTTATTATTGCTGAATAATATCTTGGGCTGTCACACCTCACCATGTTGTTGTACCCTCCGATGGTTCAGGAGTAATGAAGTCTGGGTTCTGGATCTAGAGCAGTGGTCCTGGTCCAAACCACCCATATCTGGCCCATCACCTCACCCGCGAGGTGGCCAATCACAAGTAAGTAAATTTTTTTTCTGACAATATTAGATGGTATTATTTCTCATTTCAGGTTTTTTAATAAGGTCCTACCTCATCAGATGATGACATTATTTTAAATAAAGTGTTTTGACCGTTTGTCTTCTCCATGCACTTTACAAGCGAGTGACTTAACTTTTTTTATGTGAAATGAAAAGATACCTTTTACATGTTGTCCTATTAGATTGTGATTGACGATCAAACATTGCTCATCTTGGGAGGCTGCGGTGGTCCTAATGCAGTAAGTAGTTGTCTTTTTTTTTTTTTTTTTTACTTCATCCTGGTATCGGAACAAGATATCTATATCTTAAAGCAAATGCTCCATGTGACTGTAAGCGACTACAGTTATACCATATCCTGTTGTCTTGTGTTTTAAAGCTCCTTAAAGATGCTTGGCTCCTCCACATGGATGCACCACCATGGAGGTGGCAGCAGCTGCAGGTGGAAAACGAGGACCACGGAGCCCCGGAGCTGTGGTGTCACCCAGCTTGTAGAGTAAGTGTCTGTCTCAGCTGTCAGCCCTGTTCTGCATGTCTGTGTGTGTGTACTCATTAGATCACTAATGTGTCTTTTGTTCCCATCTTGTTCATTTAACTCAAGGTGGGCCAGTGTGTCGTGGTCTTCTCACAGGCTCCATCTGGCCGCGCGCCGCTTAGCCCAAGTCTTAACTCTCGGCCCTCCCCCATAAGTGCCACGCCTGCCCCTCTGGGCCCTGAACCGCCTTCCCTGCGCTCTCAGTCTCCTGTTCGGAGCGGGGCTGCTGGTGTTGTCCTGGGAGCTGTTGAAGAGGCTCCTTGTGTAAATGGTCGGTGGGGCACGCTGAGACCTCGGCCTTCAGCGAGAGGAAGTGCCAGAGATGGGAGCCCATCCTCATCCCAACAGCCGTCTCCTTTACAAGGCCCAGACAGCCCTCCTCTTCCTCCACTTCCCCCGTTATTAAATGGATCCTCCCCTTCACCCCGGACCAGTCCAGCCCAGGCTGCGTCTCCTCCCTCTCGCCCTCACCTGCCTGCTTCCACAGACTATGGTTGGGAGTCTCCCCCTTCTGCCGCTCACCACCCTGAGGTGCCCAGCACTAACGGCCTGCATACACCTCCTGCAGTCTCCCCACACACTCCCCCAGGAGCAGTGTCCCCCGCTGCCTTACGACGAGGTCTGGAGGCAGTGAAAAACAAATCTTCCTCATCATTGCCGTCTTCATCGTCATCGTCTTCCCTTCAAACACAGGGGGCTTCTCCTGGAGGAGCAGGTGGTGGAGGAGGAGGAGCAGGTCCCCCTGGGACCCCTCCGTCGTCATCCTCCAGCCCTCCACAGGCCGCTGGAGCTGATGGACATGCTATCCCGCCTATTGCACGGCGTCTTGGCCATCACCCACCTCAGAGCCTGAACGTAGGGAAACCTCTGTACCAGTCTCTAAACTGCAAGCCTATGCAGATGTACGTGTTGGATGTGTCCCGGGCCAAATCCGCTGGGGTGGTGTCTTGGAGAGTTTACGGGAACGGGACTCCCGCTGCGGTTACGGGGCCACCTGAGACCAGCCTTCACACAGTGGTGCAGGGCAGGGGAGAGCTCATCATTTTTGGGGGCCTCATGGACAAAAAACAGAATGTGAAGTACTACCCTAAAACCAACGCCTTGTACTTTGTACGCGCTAAAAGGTAATGCAGCTCCGGGCGGATTTGGAAGACAGACGCTCCACCCTGTGACCACACAAGGGAAATGACACACAAGGCCTTTTTCCTATAGAGAGGATTATGGGGGGATAAAAAAACATAATCATTGTTTGATGTTCCACTTCAAATTCACTATTCTCCATTCTGCCTACTGCAAGCATTCAAAATAAAACACTTTAACTACACTTTGATAAAAACATTTGTTGGAGTGGGAGAATTGTGTGTGCGAGTGTGTACGCGTGAGTGGGTGGATGGTGTTCCATTTATATTGTAAGAGTGAGCGTGTGACTGCAGTGATTAGAGAGAACAGGACATTATTTTGTTATTCCCCAAAAGGTTATCAACCAAACAAAAACATTTCTGTTTTTTTGTCACCCTCTTCTGAACTCTCAAAAGAGGAACTGTTGATGCTGTTGACAGAAACGGTTGACGACTACCTTGCTTTTTGTATCACTCTTTAAACTTGCAATGTTTACATTGATAACTGTGTGTGTGTGTGTGTGTGTGTGTTATGTGTGCATGGTGGTGGTTAAAAGTTGTTGACTTATGTGTGTCGGGGGCCAAGATGGGTGAGAGGTGTGGCACTGTACTATAAACATAGTTAAACAATAAAGGCCTTTGTCTGCTCTGTCACGGTCTTAAAATTTCTGCTCTGTGTATGTTTGTGTGTTTGCTTGCATGCGTGTGTATGTTGTCTGTTAAAACCTCACTGCACTGACAAAAATATCTCTCATAAGGTACATTAGTAGCTGTTTTGGAGCTTTCTATCATATCACACGACCTTCCTCTGCAGGTGGAGTTGTCACAGATATCTAGATTCAGACTTCCATTGTATTCTGAACAAGAACTTTCTAAGTGTGGTATGGAAGGAAAAAAAGGCCATAATTTAAATTTTATAAGAATCTGAAAAACAAAATTTGGAGATTTTATCTGCTAAATATTTCATGTTCATATTTAAATGCTACTGAATTCCATAAAAAATATTTTACATTTAAAAAACCGTCTCACTTTGGTTGGTTGGAATTCCCTTTTTTGATTTTTAAAGTAATTTCAAGGAGTGAAAGAAAATGATTCAACACAGCATTGAAAAAAGGTCCAATATTCCAAAAACTTTATTCAGTTGGTCGTTTTTGGACCTGAACATTTAAATCAAGATAAAGAAAACTCCCAAGTTGTTCAAAGTTGTGTTGGGTTCATTTAGACACCAAACGTAAAGGTGAACATTACAAACCTAAGTGGGCTTTAGCTATGTTGACTTTCCCCTCGCGAGATTAATAAAGTGTATCTAATGTCATATTGGAGTTACAGTTGTCAAAGGTTTCTGACTTGTAGGTAGTGTTTGCATCACGGCAGCTCTGATATATCCACCTTGGCACTTACCAATACGGAAGTGCCTGAAAACCAAATGAATATGGACGCCTCAGTTCAGCCAAAGACTGTTCAATGTAATGAAACAATTTAATGCCTATATTGTCATAATGTCAGTGCACAGTTTTGTAATCCTAACACAACAAACTCTGTGACTTAAACGCTTGCGGGTTGATATGTGAATCTTTCCAATCTCTGTCATCCATATGATGTGAAAGCGGTATTTAACTCATTCACCTGAACTCTTGTCTTCGATCATGTTACCGACGGAACAGAAAAAAAGTAACAAAACATATTATCATCTGTAGCTTGGGTGTAACCAATCGAACTTTCTGTCTGAAGATGTGATAACAAAACAACTATGTGCTTTGCAATTTATTGAAATGACCAGGAAAATCAAACTGTAAATTCATAGATGGTTTTCAAAAAAGGTAAATTCAATAGTATTTATATTTTTACATTAAATATTCAGTAGTGATTCAATTTCACAGTTAACTAACTGTTAATTAACTGTTCCATTTATATTGTAAGATAAAAATTATTATGGCTTTTCTTTTCTTCCATAAGAAGTCTTTAAATTACTCACTGAACACCTACAGCTCAATGACAACTGAGCACACTCCAGCTGCAGAGGAAGATCATGTGAAACCATCGAAAGCTTCTGGACAGCCACTTATCGACCTCGTGGTTAGATTGTTTTTCTCCGGGGCTGTTTCAAAGATCGAGAATGAACTTCCACTCTCTAGTTGTGTCATTAGATTCATTCAGAGGCACTGGAAGTCATATATCTGATTGGAGTAGTAGTACAAGAGCGCCCTCTAGTCACTCTTTTGCATACAGCACAAAAAGTAGAGTAAATGAGTCACCTCATCTTCAAGTATCATTTGTTCCAAATGTAATTTATAGCAGACACATTTCAAAGCAAGTGCTTAGCAAATGTACCATATTATCTTTCCTTCTAAAACAATTGTTCATATAAGAAAAGGCTTCATTAAACGGTATGGTGCCAGAGCACAGGTTTGTTTGTTTAGTTTCTGAGATTATCCATACTATTTTTGGCAGATTAACCTTGTTTCTACATCTATCTCAGTCAGTGTTTGGATCCTTGCTCTCCTTTCCCTCAGACACCCCTCCCTCCCCCCTTGACCAACAATAACCTTTTACCCAGAGAGCTCCTATAGGACCATAGCAGGGGCAGTTTAGAGCAGAGCCATTTGATTCGTGCAGACTTGGGCATATGGCGATGTGGCAGACAGGCCTGAAACTGTATTGGCTCTGAATGGGGCCGGTGGGAGGAGACTTTGACAATGAATGTGCTGAGGGCACATGTTTACAATGATGAGGAAGAATGGAGCTGCACAGGATCATTAAACACTGAGTGTTATTTGAATGAAGTGACCAAATTCAAGAGATATTTTCTGACTTTTCAAAAGGCACGTGAGAGGAGTTTTCTATTTGAGTGTGTTTGACCACTGTGCTTGTTTTGTGCTTGTATGTTGGATTGAATGAAATTGACTGGAGTGGTATGTGTGTTCATGTCAGGTGATCTTGTGTGTTTGTGCGTGCGCTTGTCTGCTCTTTAAGATGCATGCTTTGATGTTTGATTTAGTGTTAAATGAAGCTGTTCTCTATCTGTGCTTGCAGGTGTAGTGTTTAAATTTCACACATGCTGCCAGTTTAGAGAGTTAAACTGGGAAATATTATCTGACAGGCTTTTTAAATGTCTCTCTCATGTGAGGAGCTAAAACCTGAACATTTCCTTTCCAGCAGGATTCCTCTCTGAAGTCTTTCTTCTGACGCACTCTCTGTCCTGATACGTAGGGCTCAGCCTCTGTAACCACACCTGAACCTTACAGTTTAAAAATACTTCAACATGAATGAATTCTCTTGCAGATGGTGACTCTTTTGAACAGACTGACAGTCGAGAGTCACTACACTACAAAGTCACTACTGAAAGGGCTTGTTGACCCACAGTGTCACAGGAGAAACATGTGTTATCACAAAAGCTGATAGCATTTGACTTCACTGTTCTGTACCAAGTACAACACACTCTTCCTGTTCCCTGAACAAGCTGAGACAAGGGGGACAAGTCATCAGGTGAGCTGTCAGGACAAACTGTGAAGCTCACTTCTCAGGGATGACCAGTGCTCGGCTGCTGAAAACTTCACCAGAAGAGTCTTTGTTTGGCGCCCAGCCTGCCCTCAGGATGGCATCCACTCTGTCCGCTGTACCCCATGGTGGCGTCCTCGGCCCCTCGTCACCCACTCCAGCTGTCTGGCCTCCTCTGGACTTCGCCCTTGGTGCTCTTGCCTGCTGTGCCGCCTGTGTGTTCACCAATCCACTGGAGGTTGTGAAGACCCGTCTGCAGCTTCAGGGAGAGCTGCGTGCACGGGGATCCTACCAGAGACACTACCACGGCGTCCTGCAGGCCCTCTGGGTGGTGGGCCGCACTGATGGGCTCCGGGGCCTGCAGAAGGGGCTCTCAGCCGGGCTGATATACCAGGGAGTGATGAACGGTGTGAGGCTGGGCTCCTACTCCTACTGTGACGCTCTGGGTATCACCAAGTTCCACGGCGGGAGTCTGCTGGCAGGGGCAGGGGCTGGGGCGCTGGGTGCATTTATTGCCTCTCCTGCCTACCTGGTAAGTTTACTAAAGTTTCACCTTTGTTATTGCATCAACTATCACAGCGGTTCCCTGTATTTTATGTGACACCTTCATTGAAAGCATTTTCAACTTGCGACCACTCATCACAGGGTCCATGTCTGTGAGTTGTCAGCAGTTCATTTGAAGTGATCTTTTTCCTTGTCGGACTGATTAATTTGAACAGTTTTTAGGGTCCTGAAGAGGCAACAAACGTCCTACACTGGTACTTGTCTTGCGACCCCATACATTCTTCTTGCACTCCCTGCGTGAACATCGCTCTGTAGGCCATTATAGGTCAGCTTTAAAGGTTGATTAAATCAGAAGGTGTTACAAGCCATCTGTGATTTTTGTTTTGTTTTTGTGTCATTACTTAATGTTAGATTCAGGTACATTGCTGTTACTGTTTGTGCATAATGCTGAATGAGAGTCAGCTCTTAATCTCCTTTTTTTTCTTGTGAGCATTTAAAAAATGTGCCTCAAATGTTGTATGAGATGTGTCACTTTGGTGCTATGTGTTGCATCTATCTGTGTATAAGCACAATAGGTAAAAAAAACTAACAGGAACTTGAAACCCCATGTACCACTGAGTGGATCATCTGATTAGCCTCACACATGTTAAAGAAAACCAAACAAGTTAATTAACAGTCAAACAACTGACATAAGCTAAAAGAAGACAATGGAGCTAGTGTGAAAGATGATATGGCTAATCGTCTTCTGAGGCAAGCACCAGATATATTATGCAAAAGGTTTCAGTAGCCTACAACACTGTGTTAATGCAAACAGACCATACTGTTTAAACAACACACACATAAATCAGACTGTGTTTGCACTTGGTGGTCAGCGACAAGCTCTTAGATTATGTTGTTAACTTACACTCCATAAAGCTTCTTTGTACAGTACATTTCTACATTAAAAGATATGTTTCCATACCCATATGTTTGTTGAAACTGTTTTTGGTTGCTGTAATCATTCCTCCTCTCCAAGCTGGCCCTGAAGACATCCTTTCCTAACACGATTCCAATGCAGGTGATGGAGGACAAAATCTACAGTCCTCATCCTGCGTTGGTCGAAGCAAGTTATGGTCTTTATAGTATGAAATTCCCCAGACTGTGTTTCTCGCTGAGCTTTGGCACAGAGATGGTAACACAAAGAGGAAATTTTGTACTAAAAATAATGCAAATATTGAAGATAGTTTATTTCGTCGCTTTAGAAAGGGATGTTTTCAAAAATCAGTATGGCCTTTAACAAAATTTACACCCACCAATAACTCTTTCAATGAAAATGTGAACATATACATACTGTGTGTGTGTGTGTGTGTGTGTGTGTGTGTGTGTGTGTGTGTGTGTGTGTGTGTGTAACATGACCTTAAGCTGACCTAACCATGTCTTGGCCATGTCTGTGTATACACACACACACACACACACACACACACACACACACACACACACACACACACACACACACACACACACACACACACTTAAAGGACAAACTATAACTTTATTTGTGACACTAAAGGGATCTTTCCCTGTAGTAGTTTAAGAAACAAAAAAGATGAGAAAACAGCAGCAGCTTCCTTAATGGGCAAAATCAATGAGGGGTGTCACTCTATAATTATTGAAATAATGAAAGAAAAGAATTATAAAACTTAAATTCAAATCTGACATTGTAAAACATCAGCAACTGACCTGAACAACAATATTATAAGTCGTCACAAACAGAGACTCAAAAGCTCACCAGCTCAGTTTCAAAGGCGTCTCACATCTCCTAAGTCTAATTTTATTCAGTAAGTGCGCTTGTGAGGCAAAGAAAAATTACATGGGGGTGTGAGTCGGGTTAGTCACAGGTCACATCTAATCCGCTTACATCTGGTTTTGAGGAAAAATTAACTTGACCTTAAGCTGACCTAACCATGTCTTGTCCAGATGGATAAGTAATATTTATTTTCATTACCCATCTGTCCACATCCAGGTCCCTCTATATAACCAGGGAATTAAAGCACTCATAAAGTTGTCATGTTTTGACGTCTCAAATGTCATGGTCTCTTGATTTACTGTACACTTTATGAATGTCCTCCACATGTCCCCTTTTATACGACAGCAGTAGTGTTGTTGTTTTTTTTGCCTCAGCTGTCAGTCCATACATTTTAAACCATCCAACCTTTTTGCATCGTCATGGAAAGACAATATTGTTTGATGACATGTTTGTGTATATCTGGGTCACTAAATATACCCTGCACGTTGCTTCAACCTGCCAAAAATATACAGTATCTTGTGGCTCCTTGCTGTGTGCTGTTGACAGTGAAGGAAGGAAGGAGAGGTGAAGGTTATTTTATTGACACACTGTATGGTGCACCTGTTGTTGTTGTTGTTAAGGTTTGGCGCAAATGACTCACTGGGGAATTTGTTAGACAAGTTCCTGGCAAATTATGTGTTATGCAACTCATACCTGGTCAACATTAGCAGAGTTACCTGTTATTGTTATATCACATCCTGTCATCTGACTCAGACTTCATCCAACTTAGTGACAAGTCCAGTTTTGTCTGTACTTGGATTATTTATTTTGGCGCAGTATTTAGTACAGTCTGAATGCATATTAAACTGTGTGTGCTGCATTTTCTTCACAGGTGAAGACCCATCTGCAGGCTCAAACAGTGGAAGCCATAGCAGTAGGCCACCAGCATAACCATCTGGTAGGACAGACACGTTCAAAATAAGACATGAAAACATTATAAGTTGTTTTATGTAAAATTATTTTATAGTGTGTATGCAGATGCTTTACTTAAGTAAAAGCCATTCATTCAAAATCCAAAGTATGTCAGTACATTAAGCAGCATTTTAATATTCTAAATACTTATTAAACTGTTTGGGAGTTTCATCATAATAAAGCACCATGTTTTATACAGTGACTAAAACATACCCATAGTCTACCCACACAGGTGTAAGGGTGTATATTAACTGTACTTGATTGACAGCCATCTCCACCTACCGTACACCTGATTAGAGGTCTAACCAGCCAGAGTGGTTAAAAATATCTGTTTGGGTGTCAAGTACTTTTCATTTAAGTAATTAAGTGATTAATATTATTATAATATTATTGTATTTGTGTAAAAAGTGCAATATCTCTTTCTGAAATGTAGCAAAGTAGAAGAATAAAGTTGTACTTTAGGCATTTGCGCTTGAGTAAATGTAGGTCAACATCCCACCACTGATAGATATTTTAATGTTTAAACTTTGTACTGATGCCACACGTGTGCCACATAATGTAAGGAGCGAAGTCAGGCCAACTTGTTGTATTCAGTCATCCACATAGGCTCAGTTTTACACAATAAGAGAAAAAAAACATTTGTAGAGGTGGAAATATAGCACCCATTATGAGATACAGTGATCTAAATGCCATCAATACATGTTTATACACACAGCATTAAACTTCTATTATAAACAGACTTCTTTGCACTGGTCTGACCCAAAGTTATACGCATGAAAAAGGCTCTTTAATACATCAGAAAATGGCTCCTAAAAAGGACATAACACATTTCTATCACTATATACCACCACCACATGATAGAAAAACATACAAAGAATCATTCCAACTTTGTTTTCTTTCTTTCTACTTCAGGGAGTCTCTGATGCCTTTGCTACCATCTATAGAAGAGAAGGTTTCATTGGCCTTTGGAGGGGTGTGAACGGGGCTGTGCCTCGAGTCATGGTGGGATCAGCTGCTCAACTGTCAACCTTCACCTCAGCCAAAGACTGGGTGTCACATTCCCAGGTAGATGTGGCAAACAGCTGACATTTACAGCACAATGAAACCGAGCATTGGCCATCACTCTGTCAGCCAACCTCAGTTAATAATTTCTTTCTTTTGTTGCAGTGGTTTATTCCACAGTTCAGTAACAGCTGGCTCACGGCTTTGATAGCTGCCATGATAAGTGGAGTCGCTGTGGCAATCACCATGACACCATTTGACGTCATTAGTACACGTCTGTACAACCAGCCGGTGGATGAGTTTCATAGGGTGAGTTTAAGTGACCTCTTTTCAGCAAATTTGTTCTTGCACTCAATAATGGTGCAAAAGACTGTTGTCAGGTCAAGTATTCTAGCTAAATGCAGACTAGGATGAAAACTCCGGACACTTAATATTTTCTTTGTCTGCCTTTCAGGGGCGTCTGTATCATGGATTTTCAGATTGTATGCTGAAGGTGTGCCAAGCTGAGGGCGTGCTGGGGTTATACAAAGGCATGGGCCCTGTTTTCCTGCGTTTGGCCCCACACACAGTGCTCAGTATGCTGTTCTGGGATTTGATGAGGCAACAGACCGTGAAGGACAACCAGAGGCAGGGAAGGAGCTAAAATATCCAACACCTACGTGTCACTGACTGGTCTCAGTTACAGCTATCGAAGAAGTGGTCCATCAGTTAATTGAATACTGAATTTAAAAGCAAATGTTCAACATTTTAGTAAAGTTATGTAAATGTTCAAGTATTTGAATGGTCATCCATCTTCCTTGCATCAGACAGAGCAAGTCTCACTTAAAGGAAGAGTTTGACATTTTGGGGAATCTGCTCATTCAGTTACATGATAAGATTGATACCCCTCTCGTGTCTGTGTCGTAAAAATGACGTTACCACCATCTGCTGGTTAGCTTAGCTTAAGCCCCATCCACACTACTGCGTTTTCGTTTTAAAATGGAGACCTTTTGCTGCATTTGCACCTCCCGTCCAGACTAAAATGGCGAAAACGAAGACCTGAAATGGAAAGGTTTTGAAATGCTGCCGACTCCGTTTTTCGTTTTGAAACTCCGGAAGACGTTTTAGTGGAGACGTGGCAAGGAGGACGGAGGACTTTGACGCAGTCGGTCATGCTTGGCTCTCTCATTGGGCCTTATAATAAACTGTATGGGTCATATCAGTCATGCAAAGCAGACACACGGTGCTACTGACAGAGTTTTTGACTTTGTATTTTTATTAAAATATTCTGTACCACGCGCTTATCTGCCTACACCTGTACTGTGCATGTCGCCGTTTACTTTGCAACAACTCCCAGTCTGTTTTATGCTGCCACAGCCTTTTAATTCCTGTGTTACATTCAGTAACAGTCCCATCTCCTTATTGGTCCATGCAAAGAAAATCTGGTCTGATTCTTTGTCTGCATTACTTTATTCTTTTGTCTGTAACTACAGAATAGACCATCTGCTCCATGATTACACTGGCACGTACATGCCCAGTGTATGTGAACAGCCACTAGATGTGTGTTTTCAGGGTTTTCAGTCATTTTAATGTAGACGGAGATCATGTAGATAGAGGAAAACGCTGGTGTGGACGTAGAATGTATTCGTTTTAATTCTCCGTTTGTAAAATAAAATGGAGTAGTGTGGATGGGGCATGATGATAGAAAAGAAGGGAAGAACGGCTAGCTTGGCTCTCTCCAAAAGTAACAAAACTCACCTACCAGCACCTCTAAAGCTCTCTAATTAACACATTATATGAGAACAACAAAAATCATAGTGTAAACATGTTCATTTGAATCTCCACTGGTTGCCTGGCAACTACTTAGAGACAAGAGTCCTGCACATAAGCGCTCCACAAAATGGCATATTGTCATTTTTTAGACTTGTACAGATTAAATCAAATATAACCTGTTAATAAGTTTGAACTTTAGAGATGCTGGTAGGTGGATTTAGTTACCATTTGATAGAGCTACATTAGCTTTTCCCCTGTTTCCCGTCTTTGTGCTAAGCTAAACTAAGCTAAGCTAAGCTAATGGCTGCTGGCTGTAGCTCCTAATTTACCGTAACAACATGAGTCCACCAGAAAGTGAATACGCATATTTCCCAAACTTTCAAACTGTTCCTTTAAGTAAGACTCGCTCTGTCTGAAGCAAAGAAGATGGATGAGCATTGACACATGTTGCACAGACTCTGAGCCGATGAACTATCAGGTTTCACCTTAATACCTCAAACAATGAATTTACAAGCAAGGTCTTGGGCTTTTACATGTCGGCTCGCAGCAAAGCTAGAATGAGAGAAGTGAGACCCATATGGCCTGCAAGGCTACCAATGGAGTGCTGATGACCTAAAGATATTAAAACAAACTCTGTATTCCATGGTTGTAGTTTGTGTTAGTGTGGCTGCTGTGATTTTTCACAATTTAATGTATATTTCAAGCTGCCTTGTCTGTTATTTGTAAAGGAAGACATCTGATGGGAATGTTTATTTACTTACATATGAACTACTGGTACATAAAGCCCATAATACCATTTGATGTGAAGTTCTTCTTTACAAAAATGTAAGCTACGGGTACTTCAAGCCTTTGTACAGCAGGTAGTTATAATAATAATAATAATAATAAAGACATTTTTGTATGAAATGCGTTAAATGCATTTGCTTTTGTATCCTTGGACAGAAATGCTCTTTGAAATACATTGTAAGCAAAGGTGTCTGATTGCTCTGTGAGCCTAATAATCTTGAGAGGATTTTTAGCCTCTTTCATCAGGGAATGATTAAACTGACGAGCATGCTGAAATCAGATTTAACCTTTGGGACTTCAGCAAGGAGAGAACTCGGACCAGATCAGCAGGAACAAATAAAGGCAACGTGAAAGTTTGTCTCACAGGAATTCAGCATTAACTAAGTCAGGCTCTTAGATTGAAGAAGCATGAGTGAGATGATATAGACCTTTTTTGTGTCCTTGTTCTTGAGATATTACAGGGAAAACATAAAAATGTTTTTCCCCTTCTCCTGGATCCCGGGAACCTATGAATGGACTCCTTTTGATTCAAACCCAATAGACTTCTTTTTCCAAGGTGAGTCCATGTTGTGGTTTTGTTCCTCATGGCGATAAAAAGCTAAATTCGCAGTACTTCACTTGCTTATTCTTTGATTTTGGTGTTTTTCATGTTTTAAAGGTCTTGTGGCTGCATGTGGAATATCAGTGCTGTGCAATCTCATGAGAGTTTACCACTTCATTGAAACATGCAGGTGAGCTTATTATGCAAAATGCAAATGCTATGAGATAGCATTTTTTTTTTTATTCACACAGTGACTCTGAATCTGAAACTGAAAGCAAACAGAGGTCATCACCTGGCAATCCTCTGAGAGCGAGCTGGAAAACAGCTCTCCAGTTCTGGTTGCTGACGGTCCTTCTGTCTCTGGTGGGCTCGAGGGTTTCCTCTCTGATAGTGCTGGAGTTTTCTCTCAGAGCTGTTGCTGCTTGGACATCAACAGGACTTGTGAGTTCCTCAAACACATGAACAGCTAATAACGCATTGATTTAGGCTTGTTTTACATCTGTCTGCACTTTCTGTGTTTGTTCTTGTGTTCAACGTTTATCTTTCTAATTCAGTTCTGACCTACTTTCATTCACATCCCTGTATCTACCTGAACTCAGGATGCCAATGGCAGAGGCCTAGACCGGCTCCTGGTCCAGTGTCAATTCTCCCTGGGTTGCGGCCTCACCTGTACTCTGTTCTTCCTCCATCAGGGGGCTCCATACAGCTCCCTCAGTTTGTTTCTGGCAGCTGCTCTCAGCTGGGCACTGGCAAGCCTCAGCCACAGTCTGTGGACCCATGTGGCCAGACTCTACCCACTACATAGCACAGAGCATTACTGTGGGAAGTGCATCACCCTACTGACCTCCGGACACACCATACTGGCTTCAGTGCAAAGAGTGGTTGTCTTGGCCTTTGCTCTCGCAACTGTGGCTTCCACCATTATGGTTTATGACCACTTCCTGTCCCAGAATGATGCTCTTAAGTTTTGGACTCCATTGACTCTCTGCTACGCTATATTGGTGGTCTATATTCAAGGTGATTGTCTGGACAGCTTATAAACCCCCCCCCCAAAAATATGAAACAAATCCATACAAATGATGTTGACATCTCAGAAAGCCAGCAGGTATCACAACATTCAAAGGTTACACTGCTGTGGCCACAAAAGACCTTTCCTCACTATTGTGTAACTTTTTGTTTCATTTTGCAGGATCAGAATCTGCACACGGGCACACAGGCCCTGTTGCACACTGCAGTAGTGCGACTGGCAGCCTTACTGGTGCTCATGCTGACCGTGGGTAACTGGTATGATGTCCTGCACATCCTCATCTCTTTCCTGGGCGAAGCAGTCTGCCTGCTGCCCTCTCTGGACCTGCTTCAAGCTGCATGAAAGGTCTGTAGGTCAATCATCTCTTCCCACTTCCACAGTTGGTTTTGACAATGTATTTTATCATTCCCTTTCTTGCATTTAAATTGTCACCGCTATGACATTTAATTCTCCTGCTTAATTTTTAGGAAGAAGACACACACTTAAGGAAATGTGAACTGAGCTCCAGGAAAGGAAGGCAAACACAACAAGACAGCTGATGGTGTACTAGTGACTACCTCGAATGTCAAGGTGCTAATACTCTATGTTAATAATAATAATAAAGACTAGGGCGTACTTACTGTCACTGTCATTTTTGTTCTTGTTTTAGACTGAACAAAAGAATGAGGAGCATTTAGCAGCTGCTGTTTTCTTTACAGTATTACCGTAAGATTAGGCTTTTCAGCCAATGTGATGATTGTGTGATAATATGGGTTGTTTGGATACTTCATACTGTAATGTAAAACAAATACATGAAAAGCAGTTGTCAAGCAGCATAATAAATATTCTGTATTCTAACACAGCATAATTATACCAAGCCTGAGTAATTTAATGAAGTCAGAGAGTGAAATAGAGATGAGCAGAAAGCTGATGAAAGGTACACAATGTGAACAGATTAGACCTCCACCAGCAGAGGATGTAGACTTGTAAATGTAAACAGTCTCCAATATGGTCAGGGATGTAAAGTATCTTATTACTAAGTACTCATTGCTATAACTGAGAAGAAACCATTATTTGAGAGGTATTCTTTGAGAAGCACTTCGTTTATGAATAATACATTGATGAATAGCAGAGAAAGTGGTCAGGAGTGTTTGTACAATTTAAGATGGTAATCATCAGGACGGTGACTGTATGTCACTAATTAAAGGGGCACTTCACCAAGTTTACACATGAAGATCAGGTCACTCGTCATGAGTCAGCCTGTGATTCTGTAACTGTGGAAGGAGCTTTGTCAAGTTTAAAAAAACAAAACAACAACCCTGATGATGGCATAGCAAAGTGTTGGGACCTTAGGCACTTTCACACTACCTTATTTTCCAGGAATGTTACGCCAAAATGCTGAATCGCTGCACTGAATGAAAGCGGAGCTGGAAAGGGGTCTGATTTGATCCGCCTCTGAGCCAGGAACATAGTAACAGAGCTGGGACGAAGTCTGTGTGAAAAGCCACAGCCGGCACGACGGTCTCGTGTTACACGTAACAGTCTTTTTCTACCCCGCTAGTTCCGGAAAGCCGTGTCGCTATGTGAAAGCATTCATGGTTGCGGGATAATGCAAACGCAAATGTTGGTTTACTTTGAATGAGCGAATGCGGCATATTTTTTGAATATGTTTAACAGACAGCCTGAATTACAAAACTGGCGGTGTGGGGTTTTGAAGAAGAGGCAGGGGATCTAATGAGAAAATACACCATCTAATTGTTTTAAGGATCCATTATTTTTGGACCTAAAGGTCAGGATATCTCAGCCTAATCTAAACCTAATCCGTAGGTCACAATTCCCCTAACTTTATTTCTGATTAACCGTTACTCAAAGCAGTCAAATCAACTTACTCACACTTGAGGAAAATCCCTGAGAAGTCATCTTTTCAACCCTGCAGATGTTTACAGTTAGGAAATCAGCATCAATTGTATTTGTGAACATGCAATTGTCATTGTTTCTACTGTGTTTCTTTCTGTTCCTCTCCCTTTGTTTCCCTTCGTTCTCTTTCCATTGTTGCCCTGCTCACCCAAATAGTTCAAACCTGAGGATAAAATTACAACATTGATACTGTGATGTTGGTGAGTAAATTGAAAAGCCATGGTGCTGTAGTAGTGAAGAGGTTCAGAGGGTTTAATGAGGATTTTGGCTGTTGGGGGGGCGGAGCATGGAAGTCTGGGGATTGTGTCATCAGTAGGCATGCTCCCTCCTGCAACTGTGACATCACAGCAGCATTCCTTTCCACAGAGCTGGAACAACAGAGACCCCCATCACTCTCCTCATCTCCGTCTCCTGTCCCCCCCTTTCTCACACATTCCTGCCTCACTTTTCTTCTTTCACACTGAGCCACATCGATCAGAAAAGTTTTATTCAACATTTAGTTACTCGCTCCATCCTCCCTCTTGGCTCTTGGGAGGGGAGTTGACCTCACAAGGTTTGGCTCCGGAAACTAACCACAATATTTGCTGATCAGCCAACCTGATATAGCTTCAGGCTCACTCTGGTGGAGAGCAGCAAACACAACAAAGCAGCTTTTTCATAGCTCTCGCAGACATCCCTCACTGCGCCCCCTCCTCTCCTAATACACCAATATCTCCTCTTGCACAATACCCTGATTCATTGCACCGTAATGCTGCTGCTCCTTTGCAGTTGCTTTCAACACAAAAGCTCCATCAGGAGAGTCTGATGAAGTCCACCGCATATTATCAGACGTCGGTGAGGCACAGATGGAAGCACTGCCGTGTGACACTGATAGTGAGTCAAGGCTGAAGTGATATAATGTAGTGGGGGAAGGGAAGACGGAAAGAGGGAGAAGAAAAAAGGAGGCAGACTCAATGAGGGAGGTAGGGAAAATAAAGCTGACAGAACAATAAGGCAGAGCTGCACAGGAGAGAGAAAGAGGACAGTTTGAGATAGAGAGTTTGCTGGAAAAGGCAGGTAGAGTCACATCCTGCTTGCCTGTAGAAAGATAAAGCCGAGGGAGGTGGCTGTCTCTGCTTGTCTATTTAAGGGTGAAAACCTCTAGAGATACTTTATGATTCTGTATATTGCCTTTGTAAAAGTCTGACTGTGTGCTTTTGGTTAGATTGCCCAACAGTTGCATGACTTTCTTTGTGTGTGTGTTTATGTGCATGCCTGCCTGTGTGTGTGTGTGTGTGTGTGTGCCTGCCAAGTTTTCATAGTGGATGAATGTGTCATGTTTTTTACTGCACTTTGCCCGAGATTAACTGTTCACCTTTTACGGTTGGGAGGGAGGTGGTATTGTCATTCAGCCAGAGAAGGAGGAGGGGTCGACGGACGAGAGAATTTGGGGAGGGAGGTACAGAAGGAAAAGGAGTGGCCTTCGGCTGATAGTCTCTACCGGAGTAAAGTCTTCTCTCAGTGGCAACTTAAAGGAGGGAAAGTTTTGAGATCCAGAACAGGGGAAAGAGAAAGAAGACCACTTTTTCTCCCAGGTATGTAATGGCAGCTCACAGCCAGAGTGAGTGGGTTTAAAGGAAACAGATGATTCAGATTTGTGCTTTCTGCCTCTTAAACCATTCATTATGGGTAATGAGAGCTGTGAGTGTGTGATTTTACCTCTCTGAAGTGAGAGTGAACGATCCCACAAAGTTGAATGAGAGGGCATATACACTTAGATTAAATATTATTGAGATAATAGTGATAAAATGCCGTGCTTGTATTCCAGGGTTGCTTAAAGGGGTCGACTCTATGATGTGTTTCTGTTCTCTGGCTGTTCTTTTGAACAAGGCTATAAAACATTACATGTTGCGAGCAGTCTTGAGTCTACATGATAATTGTTCTGTCCCTCCTGTTAGGCTGTATGTAGGTTTTATGCAGTCATGGCAACAGCGGCTCCACCGAAAAGGATGGTGTCTTCTTTCTTCATCACTCTGGCGTCTCCTCACCGAGCCACTGTGACACAGCAGCAGCCCGCCCTCCAAGCCCACAGTGCCCTGGCTAGAGACAAGCAGCACACTGCTGTACGAGTCAGCCCAAGTGACACCATCCCCACCCTCAGATGTAAGAAAGAGGACATCTCACCGTCTGAAGGTTATGGCAGTGTAGAGAGCAAGGACCAGACTTGCGCGGAGGCCTCGACCACAGCTTCAGATCCTCAAAGCCCAAAACCTGCCCAACCGGCACCCGGCAGAGGAAATCTGCAAGAAGACGACAGAGGTGCTGCAGGTATTCATGACAAGATCTATTTTTCATCATGGATTCGATACAAACAGCGCACTGAAATAAAACTTACCTGAAATATGTTCAGAATTGACCATACATGTAACGGATGGCATCAGGGCCTGGCTGAACTTTAACATGTGTTTTGGACCTTTGTTTTACAAGTCTGTTTTAGAATCATTTGTTGAGATGGTGAGATATACCAAACCATAAGTTATGGTTCTTGTTGGGGAACTCCCCAGATTAGATTTTATTGCTTTATAACCTTTGTTTCAACACACCTGGTATTGTTTAAAGGGGAACTTATCAAAGTGTCTTCAGGGGTACAACTGCATATGTGAAAAAAAAACGCCTTTTGTGGCTACAGGGGAAGCTACGAAAAGTCTGATTAATTTCCCCAAGAGATGTCACTTGAGTCAGCTTCAGTTGGGGTTGAAGACTACAAGTTAGAGCATGAAAACAATCTGGGGGTGTGGTGAACCTCGGGAGCCAGCTCCTCATCTCTGCTTGAGGCTGGCAGCTTGAGGCAATATTAGCCACTATTAGAATAACACAACCGAACGGTCAGCGGTCGAGTTGCGTTGGGGGTCATGTAGGAGCCAGTTTTTCAGTTCTCTTTTAATCTGAAAAAACTATCTTCCTCCTCTCACACTGGCTGGATTCAGGATGTATTGTGTGGGAAAAGTATTATCAGTGAGGAACAGTTGCTACTTTTGATCACATTTGGCTTCCTTTTTTAGGAACATGCTGAAAAGTTGTCATTTTTAGTTTGACTATAGATGAGCAAAACACATGCTTAGAAGACATAACCCAGTAACCGTCAATATCTCCCCTTATTTTATTTATTTTCCATTATTTTAATCTTTCTTTCTCTTTTTTATTTGTATTTCTAATTCGTTTCATTTTCATTTTTCAGCCTGACTGTATCTTGTATCTGTGTATGTACATACGTGTATGCATAGCACGTATAGCACTCTCTCTCTCTCTCTCTCTCTCTCTCTATATATATATATGTATATATATATATATATATATGTATATATATGTATATATATATTTGTTTGTTTGTTTTCTTGCCAAATAGAGCTCTTCCCTCCTCCTCCTCCTCCTCCTGCACTGTCTTCATCTCTGGAAACATCGCTGTC